AGGAAGAAAAAAATTATTTTTAAAATTGTCATCTACTTTTATAAACTATTGCAGCCTAATTTAGCATGTCCAAGGTCCTACTACTAATCAAGACGCAGAGGGTACGCCATCAAATATTAATTTTTTTAAACATTTTTTATTATTTAGTTTTGTAGAATACACTTTCCTGAACACGTACATACCAAATATTATGGAAGAAAAAATTATTTTAAGCTATACAGCGACTTTTATACACTCTTACTTTAGCAAGCGGTCCTACTACTACCCGTGACAGGGGGTACTTTTGTCGTTTTCCGAAAGTCAAGTGGTTTTTAGTCAGGTACACTTTTCTTCCTCAATTATAATCCAATTTCAATAAAAATTGGTGTGTGTGTTCCTCATATGATAAGGAACAATAATACGAATCAGTTTCCATGACAACCAAAAACCTTTGAAATAAAAAAATATTTTATGTTAAAAAATTACAAAATATTTTATAAAATTTTAAAAATCATACTAACAATTTAATTTTGCTCAAAAACTTTTTTTGCTTCATGTTATTGTTGGTAATAATGTATTAAACTTAGTACAAAAATTTCAAGTTGATAGGTTAATATTTGTAAAAGTTATGTGTACCTAAAACCTGTCATTTTAACATGGCCGGGATAGGGAGTACTGTGTCACCTTAAAATTTGCTATAAAAATACAATCATGAGGAAATGTCAATGAAATTCGCCTTCGCAGAGTTTTCCTCGTTTCTCGTCACTTGCCAGTATTACATGGTTAACAAAGAGAGAATTATTGTTGGTATTGCGGAAAACACCTTCAAAAATATGAGTTGTTTTCTCTGTCAGGCGGATAAGGTCGCATCTGGAAAATAACTGCGTGAAAATCGGCGATTTTTTACATTCCCTTGGGTCTATTCTAGTTTACGACGTTATGAACTGAAAACAATTTCGATAAATAAGGTTATGTGCACAAACTAATTCTTATATATTAAAACGTGACAGGGTTTTTTTTATTTCACGATTCTGAATCAACCACTTGACGGATTTTCATCATTTTTGTGTTGAAAGAAAGATAATTTTTAGAACTAGGGAATGTCGAAGCCATAATTTTAGGTTGCTGTAGTAGGACCCCCGGAACCCCCGCTGTCCTGGAGGGTGTTCCATGGTTGTAGGTCAGAGGGTCCCAGGGTTACCCAGACAAGGGTCGGTCGTAAAATATTTGAGCGAGTGCGGTCAGAGGGTCCCAGGGTTACCCCTCATTAGCGACGGGACTCTCTGGCAACGCCAGCCAAGAGAGGATTAACGCGCAAGTCACTGAAATACCCCACATGTGGGGTTACTGTTGGAAATAAATTATTTTGCGTTTCAGTTGCATTACAACCTTTATTCTATGCACAATTGACTATGGAGGTAAAACTCGATGTACTACTAGTTTCAAGGAATATATCTCTGGTTTATGTATTTTAATCAGCCTTGTTGAAATATCATAATTAATAACTTCATTGAGATTTAACTCTATCTTCCAATGAAAATGTATTAAACAATTGGAAAAATGCAAAAGAGAAAAATAAACAATCAACTATAAATAAAAGACCAATGTAACAACTGACACACTGTACTATATCTACACAATAATATCATACAAAGATCTAAAGGGGTCTGCTGTGGGTATGCTAATCAAGTACGTAAAAACTAACAAAAATAAAGTTACCATACCTCGGATCTGTTTAGGACTGTTCATGCTTCGATATCGTCCGAGGGCTTTGCTTGCTGATTGTTAATGAAATATTTATTTAGTTTTTTATCTATCTATCTATCTAAAATACTAATGTTCGGGTAAACACTGTTATGTATAAAACGTTTAGATCTTATAGAGTACAATAATAAAGTCGTGAAAAATAATAGCCTAATTTATTAAAAAATATATAATGATTACATAAGTTTAGATAGATTATTAGTACCACTTAATAATCATAAAAAGACGTCAAACAGTAAAACTAAAAAATACAACTATTTACAGTAATTGACATGAAAACAGAGAAAAAAACTACTGATATACTGTTTATAAACAAATAATGAACATTTGAAGGAAATTCTATTTATTTTTAACTGTATAAGGATATGAATAATAATTATCAGTGTCAACCCGTTTTGATGACACTTGCAAAACTATATTAAAACAATTTAACTATATGTGAAGTATGTAGGGCCTACTGTGAAGTTCTAAACTGCTGCATGTCTTAAAAAACTAGAATGTTTAGGAATTAACATTATACGAGAGTTTGTACTGTTTAAAGTTATTTGAAACTGTTAATCATATAATATATTAGAAAGCTATTTACATAGTGTAATCACCAGCTAAGTTAAATTAATATTACCACGAACACATAAAATACATCAAACGGTAAAACTAGAAATATACATCCTTGTGGAATTTATGTTTATATTCTACCCTCGGCACGGGCAAAATAATAGCGTAAATAAAGTTAGTTTTAAAGAGTGTTTAGTTTTGCTGCTACGAAGGTAAAATGTGTTTTAACGAACGTTTATTGTATAGGATGAAATAAATCAACTAACCAAATATTATCAACATAGAGAAACATGTAAACTACATCTCCACAACAATAACAAAGATATTTCAAATGTCGTCTCTTTTATTTTCAAGCTTTCTCCGTTACCTTTAGTACATTATACAACAAGTACCTAGGTTAGCTGCTACAGGGAGGGCAATAAAGTGTGTTTTTTTTATATCATGAAAATATTTTTTAACTCACGCCCGTTCATCCCACCTTACACATTCAAGCCAAATGCCATCATAATCGGACCAAAATTACCCAAGTTCTCGTGTTCACGGACACCGTTAAAAGTATATCGGCCCCGGATGTAGGATTTAATGTGTCACCTACTACCTTGTAGCTAAATTCGCTAAAAAAAGCTACACAGAACATCTTACTTCATTTTGCACTCACAGTGCAATCATTTTCAGCTTAAAATACACATTTAGGTGGGCTTAGCTCTCTTAAGTAATGAATCAATGAATTGCTTACCACGTTACTGTAAACATTATAAAATAATAAAATTTAATTTCGCACGTTATTTGTTTAATAGTTACGTGTTCTATATTCTCTCGGCAGTACACGAATACTCGAACAGACTTTCTGTTCTCCTATTCGTGGCAACCTATTAAAAGCCACGAATGGTCTAATGATAGATGACGTTTGTTATAAAGCTTAGAAGAAATCTTTCCAATATCACACAAAACATCTTTAGTTTCGTATGAAATAGTTATTTGTGTAACTAGTGGGCAAAGTGGCACATTGCTGCACACGAGAATGATCTCGAGTGCAGCAAAGGCCTTTTGCACTCGTGTTAAACATTATATTTTTCCTACAGTCACTATAAAGCATATAAATAATTAGTCTTTCAAACACTATACAACACGTTTTTAGGTTCAGCTGGCAACACAAATAGGTGCCCTAGAGAAAGTAGTACCCGGTACGTATCACTCCGCTATTTTTCCTCGGCAAGAAATGTGCTCCGCGTTTTGAGAATATAGTTCCGTATGTTTTTGTAATTTGAAGTGATATCCGCGCCTAAAAAAAATGCTTTAAAGGTATTTTCTTGTTTATTAAGGTCGTAGGAATGTTTTAAAAACGCTTAAAAGAAAAGTCCAGAAAGTTCAGAAATACCGAGACTATAAACACGAAATGACAGGTTAAATCGTAGTTATAATAGCCAATCAGCTGCTCATAGTATTATTATCTTTAAGTGTTGCCAACCTATTTACAAGCTTACACGGATTACGTGCATAATGGAACCACGCTGTTTTGTGTTGTTTCGTTGGAATCCTGATGTGCGCCAAAGTATAAACCGTACGACAAAGTATATATATAGAGCAATTAGCAGCTTTCTGTACTATAAACAGTACAAGGAAGCCAAATTTGTCGGGTGACTGTAGGAAGATTTATTTATTGAAATACTTTTGATAACTCATTTATAAGATTTGGATAACAATTTTCATTTTATCTTATTGAAATGTGTGTATTTGCCTCTCCAGAATAAGAAAAATTAACTTGACCTTAGCGACAATAAGCCCTAATTCCGCGTGCGTTATTCCAATTCTGCAACGAACGCAATCTTTGAGTGCGCCTTGCACCCTTAAGGGTAAGAATTTTACAATTCTAAACCCTTATTGCAAAACTACAAATTGAGACGAATCCTTTGACCCCTTAAACGTTGAAATTGGTCCACTGGCACAGATGAGGGAGGAGTAGTGTCCACAAAAAACTGCCTCACATATTATACATATAGAATAGATAGAGATATGAATTCTTTAAACATAGTTAAATCAACATAGTTTTCTAGTTCTATTTCTAGTCCTAATCCTTTCCAGGCGACTGCGGTCTGAGGGTCCCAGGATTAATGAGGGGTCGGCCCGGGACCCTGTGGCAACGCTCACCAAAGCAGGCAAAGGATTTTTAGGTAGATTTTGAGGCTGGGACCCTCTGACCGTCTCCCGTGTTCCATACCCCTCAGTGACCCCCCCCCCCCAAATGTCACCCTAAATCCGCCCCTGATCTAAGGTGGTACCATATACAAAGCAGTTTTTGTATGTTTTCACTGAGAGAATTTAGATAATATTGAGGATTATGGCAGCCTTGATAGTCACGTGGCTATACATCATTGTACAGCCAAAGGTTACTTTGTCATTGTACAGACTAAGGTATTTTGAATAAGCCGTTTTCAAATTCCTGTTGATTGAGCATACACATTTGTGGTCATACAGTACCACAAATACAGTATATACAGTAGTGGGTATTTGATAATAATGTTAGACAAAAAAGTACTGTATACTAACATTTTATCATTTTAATGTGCCAAGTTTACCCTTAACATTAAGTTTTAAGAAAACATACTTCTAAAAGCGTCATGCTGTGTAGTCAACAGGGTTACGCCTTTACGCCTCCAGACTGAAGGTCTAAAACATGCTACAGTATAGATCTACCTACTCACTTTTTCTTTCTCCGTTTTAGACTCCTGCTTGGAAGCAGACTTTTTGAGTTTCGAGCCGGTTTCCCCGGGAAATCCGTCAAACTCGCGGAGCAAGGTCCTACGAAAAGCACTCGTGTCGAAATCGAGATCTATGTCGGTCGGGCCGAAGTCGATCTTGATCCTGTCAGCGACAGAGCCGAGTCGCGAACGTCGAGTCGTGGAATGCAGCGACACTCTGGACCGACGACTGGTGCTGGAGCTGGAGAAAAAGTCGTCCAATCCCAGCCAAGAGGAGTCCATGGTTCGGCGGTGTCAGAGGCGGCGGTACTGGACCGGGCGAAGCGTCGTGCTGCCGTGCCGCGCCGCGACGCTAAGTATAGACATGACGCACGAGAACAGCGCCCCATCGCCGAGGGTGGTCTAACTGTACAGCGAGGGAGTGTCCTGGAAAAACAGCATGTCGTCTTCAGTGGTGTTCCAAAGATGCAAAGAGGAAGTCGTGGTCTGAGAAAATGAACAACGAAACGCAACAAATGTATTAGTTACATGGTGGCCTGTTTTGCCATTGGTCATTATATTAAAATGCAGGTTAACTAATGACATAAACAGACTTATATTCGTGTTGCCCCAGAATAAAAAGAGAAAGATAGACACTCTAGTAAACTGTGGTATTGTAGACCAAATAAACTATTTCAGATCATAAAAAAAAAAAATTGTGTAGATGTTATTGATTGCACGTTGCATATGGTTTTTAGGTTATTTTATAACTGTTATAGTATTAATTGTATAGTGTTATTTTACCAAGTTATTGTTAGTTCTTTTTTTATGTGTATTGTGAAGTGTGAAGAACTTTTATTTTGACAGCAGACAGCTAAGGACTCTATCACGCACAGGTCATTGTGACCCATGTGGTATTTTTTATTTTTTGTATTTATTGCTGCAAAACAGTGTGTAATAAATAAAGAATTTTCTCTTTTCTCTCTCTTCTCTCTCTATTTAGGACTTATGTTAGCTGTGTGTAACATATGTGACTGTGCATATTAAATATACCTGCCATGTGCACAGACCTAACATCCCCACGGAGGTCGCTATATTCTTGCCAGAGTTGCGATCAATAAACGTCAACTCACTGGCAAGCTTCTAGTACAAACCCATATTTAATGGTTTTTGGTACCGTACCTAACATTGTAATTGATTTTCAATCCTTTTACGCTGTTGATGAAGTAGAGTTTGAGTGGGAGAAAATAATGAGGAAAACTCTTCGACCACGAATCAAGCCCAATAGCAAATATAGTTTTCAGAATTCAGTTACAATGCAAATCGTTACTCACTATGCACACACTATTTACTGGTAGTGCTAGATTAGCAAAAAGCAGTTAGTAGCCCTAACAGACTTATGAACGGGTGTAGCACATGACCCAGGCTGGAATCCTCCCTGAACAGAGTGGGCCAAACGGGGCCCCCGTTCTCCCCCAATCAACATATTGTTACTCATGCTCACAGGATTATAAACCATTGAAATTGCGAGAAAACATCCGCCATCATCTCTCCCGATCGCCAAGAGAAGGGCAACATCTTGATTATGTTCATCAATCCCGATTTTTAATTGACAGGACAAAAACGAGTGCGACAAAAGCAAGTTAGTGCAGCAGTTAGCTTCTTTGCGTGCTATAACTACTTTTGCCACTTTATTTTTTTTTGTCGCACTCCAGTTCTTCAACCAAACAACACAAAACAGTGTGCTTTTATTAGATACGTAATACGTGTACGCTTGAAAATACACGTAAAGTGTTTCCCATTTCGTTCAACGCTTGGATTAACCTAACCTAAAACGTGTTGTTGTGTTTGAAAAACTAATTATTTATATTCTTTATAGTAACTGTAGGAAAAATATATAATGTGTAACACGAGCGCAAAGTGCCTTTGCTTCACCCAAAAACTTTCCACATTTTCCTGTGGCTTGCGCATTAACATTTATCTTGTGCAGCAAAGTACCACCATAGATTAAAAGAAGTAGACATGTCTATACTCCTTTTACCTATGGTACCACTTCGCGCATTCGTCTTCGCCTCAAACTTGAAACGATCGAGAGCTGTAAAACCATTTCGGTCCGTGGGATGAACGCTATTTTTCATCACACTATACCCTATTACCACTATTCACCACAATAATAATGCACACTGATAGTCTACACAACTACAACTTTAACGTTACCATGTGAAGAAATAATTTGAGGAATCAGCAATAATAATAATAATAATAATAATTAATAATAATAATAATAATAATAATAATAATAATAATACTTTTATACTTTAATACTTTCTTATTAAATGGCAACCATATAAAGTAGGCATTTTAAGCCAAGTATGAATGGAGATGGGTCCGCGGAATTGGCTAACTCTGGAACTCGCTAACCCCATGTTAAACGCCCTATCTTCAAATTTGGTCGATGAGAGGAACTCGCTAACTTGTTCGGTTTCGGAATTGGCTAACTCCGGAACCCGCTAACCCGCTCTAGAGCCGGGTTAGCGAATTCCGTCCTCGTACGGAAGTCGCTAACTCGGTCCCTCGGCGGAACTCGCTAACTCCCAATCAGAAGCCTCTCGCGACGTCCAATGGGAGCCAAGCACGAAGATTGTTGGCCAGTGTTGCCGAAAGTGTAGTACCTACGATCGTATCGGTACCATAATATCGTATCCTACGAATAATTAGGAGTAAGAGCAATGTAGTCGATAAAATAAATATATATTCGAAAGTATGTTTAATATAATTCTTATGAATACTATTAGGGTGGAAAATGCATTATAGTCTTACCATAGACTAACCAACACAAGTAAACATTACATCCCATTGTACATTTTGAAGCTCGTTTTTCGCGTCTAGTTCATGTCCGGTGACACTGATCGCTAGTGTCGTCGAAATTGTGTTTCTATTCTATTATTTTATAGTTGATTTCATGATTTGTTCTCTACTGTTTGGTTATATAACTAGGGGACGTGTTATTAGTTATGATTAGAACGTTTTATTTAGTTAAACGAGGTTTTAAATGACTGAAAACAAGAAACAAATTGTAAACAAAACACGACCTTTACAGACATTGCACCGGACAGAACTAACAATAAAATTGTCTTCAGCAGATCTATAAGGATGAGAAATGTACTAATATAAGGGAGTATGTTTTATCTATTGTCTTCTTACTTAAATAGTAGTTTATTGGGATGCAAAAAGATAGTACTGTACATTTAATTTGGATCTTTTACAGGTTATGAAAACTTGTCCTTGATAGGTTATAATATTTGTTTCTTTAAAGGCCTATATTATATCTGTCGTGCGAGTGTTAACAATAGTTTGGTTCTTCGTAATATTTCTGTATTTATTACCAAAATAATTCCGAATCATAGTATTAGTAAACAAATAAAATAGTTTCGATATTTTTGTATAGCAGGCACATGATATACCTAGGTACATTAATGAATAACGAAAATCTAAAACGTTAACACTCTATTACAATATTGCGTCTTTACTTTAGCCAAGAAAATCAATATATATAATTCCGTAAGTCAAATTTTTGTAAAGAAATTGTGAGTGACTGGGGATGGCCGTAGAAGGATGGGAGGGGTCTTATTTTAAAGGTCTTGACGTGAATTTTGAGGGAAAACTATTCATTTTTCTTAATTATGCACCAAAAGGTTATTACAGAATAAAATAATTCACATTTAAATAGCATGGGAATCTAGGTCGTGTCTGCTTTGTTTACTTTAAACATGTGGTTTAGCTTTATTTAAAGCATATGGTAATACCATCTCTTATATTAATACGTGAGGGCTGTTTTTTGTGAACAAAACTCCTCTGTTATTTCTGGACCGATTTTAAAGTTTGAGGTGTCAAATGATTCGTCTCAATTCGTAGTTTTGCATAAAGGTTTTAGAATTTAAAAAATATTACCCTTAAGGGCACAAGACGCTCTCAAAGGTCGCATTTCCCCCATAAGAATTACATTGAAAACAAATTTAAAAACAAAAACAGCTGTACATAAAAATAAACTCACCAGCTTTTTTGGAGTAAATATTGATGTTTGTAATATGTATGAGGTTATAAACAAATCTAAACAGTCAATCAGTTTTGTTGGAAGAACAGAAAATTTCTTGAATTTAAAGGAGAAATATTGAAGACAGGAGGAGGAGACAATTAATAGGAGATCTTATACGTATGAGAAGAGTAGAGGATAGGCCTGGTCTCACAGTAAGGAATCCAGGTACACAATCACTTAGGGTGATGAATCATTTTGCCAGTTATGCTAAGCAACTTATTTTGAAAGTAAAAAAAAACATGAAGAATATACACATCGTGTTGTCACAGTGGTAAAGTAAACCTACCTAAAGTCAGATCAAAGAAATACATGCAAGAAATGTTTAATGGTATCAGCTTTAAGTCGGGAAACATTTGTAGAAAACACTAAAAAATAAGGCCGGGTCCAAAAAATGCTAAAATATTTTTACAAGAAGCGTTTATCTATAATTTCAAAGCGGTATATTAAATAGCGTGAGCATTTCAATTAGTTACGTAAGCATTTAGTCGGGTTTTTTAAACTCATCGAAAATTATGAAAATAACTCCTGCATAATACCGGTACTTTACAATTGCTCGATTTCGAGCAACAGGTACACTAGTTGACTATTAATTGGCTACAGAAGTTGTATTAATAGTCAAAGGTAGTATATGTACTGTATGTAACTATAGTACATTTGAAAGTAAACATGCGTGCAAATGAAAATGAAACAGCATTTTGTGATTGGCTTCTACGCTTAGGTAATGGAACCTTAGAGAGCAATAGGGCAACACCGGCAATTGACATTCCAGATAACTTTGTTCTCTCTGATTGTGCAATTGTACAACATATTTATGGCAACTCAATCAATCCAGAAAATATTCAAAACTACTCCAATCAAATAATTGTATGTCCTTTAAATGAACAATGTGATAATTTAAATGAAGAAGTATTAAAAATCATCGAAGGAGACTAGGCCTATAAGGAATACTACAGTAATGATGAAGTAGTTTCAGAAGACCCTACAGAGAGGTTGAACATACCAATTGAGTTTATAAATTCAATTACACCATCTGGAATGCCACCACACAAATTAGTTTTAAAAGTTGGTTCAATAGTGATGCTCAGAAGAAATATGAACCTAGGGTCTGGATTAGTTAATGGAGTACGATTGGTTGTGTTGGGTACCCTATGTCTGAAAAAAGTGTAAAGTTGGAAGTAATTACTGGAGTAGACAAAGGGAACATATTTTTCATACCAA